TTGGGAGACTTGAATTCAACTCTGTCTCCGGGGTGACCTGGAACAAATTATTTAGTCTCTGTGTCTTTGTTTCCTCACATGTAAAACAATATTCACAATTACTAAAATTGAGTGTGAATTATTATGCCAAAATTATTATATGCATAATACCAGCTTTCCCCCACAGAGCACTAATGAGAGTTGGGAGGTTTAGGATTATATGTAACCTGTACAGCGCAGTTAATGTGTGCCATTTACTGTGTCATAGGCAATCTGCAATTTCCAGGCATTATTCCAATGAACTCTCACAACACAGTGACAGAGGTCCAATTTATTATCTCTGGGTCCTTAGCAAGAAAACTGTAGCTTGGGGACTTTAAAGATCTTGCCTAGTACCCTATAGCTAGGATTTTAAAATACATGCAACCCCCATCTTATACCGCCTCAAAATGTCATGTTTATGAATCTCTCTGATGGGAAGGGCAGAACCTTGAGAAAGTCTAGGTGTGAACAAAGCCCCACCTCTGAGGGACAGAGTCCTGGGACCCTGTGGCCTCTTGTAACTTGCCCTCCAGCACCACCACCTGACCCGTCTTAAAGGAGATACTGAGAAACACTATCTGGACAAATGCACACCATTACAGTCAGGTTCAAATCAGATGCCAATGTAGGTGCTGTGTGGACCAGCAAGCACTCAGCCAGGACATGACAATGAAACTGGTTCTGTGGCCATCCAGGCTCCATCTGAGTATTTCTGGGGACAGGGAGCTCCTTCTGGATAAAACTCTTCCCTTTTCAGCCTGTGGGTCCACCCACTCATCCACCCTACAGCCAGGTCCCAGGACTTTTCCAGCAAGAAAGAACCATGCAGCACCCAACCAGCCACTGAAGACCCCTAAGGCTTGTGGCCTCACTCCCACCATTCCTCCCTGGGCTCCCCGACCACAGAGGGAGACAGGTGAAGACAGCGAGGTTCTTGGCTCATGTGGCCTCCTCTCCTTTGCTCACTCTCCTGTCTAATTAGAGGATTCCTGACTGATGATGGTCCAGGCCAAGGGAGAAAGCATGGGGGTCACTGGAGTCATTGCTGGATGTTCCAACCCCATAAACAATACCTCAGCCCTTTGCAGAGTCCCACCCCTTCCTGTCACCTCTAACTGGGTCTTGGGCTCTGAGGCCATATTCCCAATAACTTAGCTGCTTGCTTTCTTTACCCTCTGTTGCAGCAATCCTAAGCCAGCCTGTGTCCATACCTTAAAAGACTCCAAGAATCCTCCATGGCCCCCATTCTCAAACTTGTCTTCCTCAGGGCCCAGGCCTAGCATGACCTGAGTGTGTGTGTGGAGTTCATCATGGAGGTTGTCCAGCAGAGCAGCCCGGGTCCGGTCCTAGAAAGGAAGAGTGTAGACACTGTTCAGACACCACTGTATACTTCTTTCTGTGTTCTAGATGTCTGGCCTGAGGGCTGCTATTCTGTCACCAGCTTCTGGCCATGGTGGGGTCTTAGAGGAGACTGGACTTCATGCTCACTGGTCCTGCCGTTAGCACAAATGTTCTGGGCTAGCCCCTACTCTCACTTTTCCTGGCCATACCACTTCTTCCAAGGCTTGCCCTGGGGATACCCAGCCCAGATCTCAGACCAAGATCTATATCCACAGCCCCTCTGCCCATGGCTCTCTAACAGCCAGGGACATGCATGCAGCCTCCAGGGGGCTCCATACACACAGACTGGACAAGCCCCTTTCAGGAAGCCACAGTCCTAAGGGCACTCCTCTCCCGGTTGTTCCCATCACCACAGAGCCTAAGCTGAAAACCTGAGTCACCCTATAATTCCACTTTTCCCACCCTTATTTCTAGGAGTGTCTTCCCAACCCTGACTTTAGAGGAATGTCCAACCTTTTGACGTTGTGACACAACACTGTCATCTATAAGAACTGTACAGTCAGATTACCAGGGGAAAAACTCACAATGTTTTATACTTACTAGTCTATGATTCTGTCTTGGAATATATTCATGGCTATCCTGAGGCACATGTGGCTTGCAGGCCTCTGGTTGGACACACCTACCGGCAGTTTAACCCAGTACCTCCTGTGGAATGCTCACCTTTGTTGACTCTCTTAGACTCTGTAATCATTTCTAACTGGCCAGTTTCCTGTCACAGTTCCCTTTCAACCCCTTCTCCTCCTCTAACCCCTGCTGGCTAATGATGTCTCTAACTTGCGAATCAAACCCTGCTTTAAAACTTCATAGCGCACATCACCTGTAAGCGCAGCCTTTCTTCATCTAATGCAACCACCATCTGCAGCTGCACCCCATCTTCCAGCCACATGAGGCTGCCATCAGGCCACATCTCCCACCCATAAAAGTCAGACTCTGCTTGTCCCTTAACCATTTCCAGACTCTCTTCATGTGAAAGCTTCATCAGACATCAAGACTCAGCAGCTCAAAAGCAACCTCCTCCAAGAAGCCGTCCCTGAACACACCCTCCATCTTCCCTAGCAGAAGCAATCACTACCCACTGGCTCTACCATAGCCCAGAGTGTAATACAGCATAGTTTCTCTTCAGTAAAGGCCTGTGACTCCATAGCAGCAGAAGTAATAAGTCCTGGGCATAATACATGTTTGGTAAACAACTCTGGCTGGTGAGACCCAGAGTCTAGATGAGTTCCTACCAAGAAAAGAAAAAAAAAAAAGAGTTCCCAAAGCAACACAGAGCTGAGGACTTAGAAGGATACAAAAAGCTCCCCAACTGAACAAGCACCATAGTGAGACTCCCGAAAGAGGCACGGAGCAAGCCCAGAGGAGACTTTCAGTCTGGCACTCTCACCTCCAGCTTGGCGAACTTGTCCGACTTGCAGCAAGCATTTTCTGCATTTGTGAGCTTGGTGAGCAGAAACTCCCGGAATTCTGCACCCTGAAACAGATAAGAGGGCTCAGAATTCTCCCAGCCTCTTCTGTAGACAAAAAGCTTCCAACTACAGTAACAAAAAGGCAGAACAATGGGTATGGGGACAGCCCCTGCAAGAGCCCTGCTCATATCTGGTCATATCCAGCCAAGGTCAGCCCCACCTGCTAATACACAGCATGGAAGCCAGCTTCCACAGTACTGGGAAACCCACCCTCCATATGGCACCTGGCCTACAGCACAGTATGAGAGCCCTTCGGGAAGGCAACCGCATCATCAAACTCCCAACAAGGGCCAGACTGGCCCCAAAGGGTGAGGTAGGAAGATATCCAGGAAGGAGATATCCCTAAAGCTATAACAGGACCTCCCTGACAATGCTCCCAGCCTACATTCAAGCCCATTCCAACCACTGACACTCAGGTGGAGAGACCTGGGGTCTTAAGTGTGACAAGAATGGAAAAAGAGGGTTTTTACCTTTTGGAAAACAGGTGGGCTTGGCAGAGGGGGACCAAAGGCAGGCACATCCTCCCTTGCAGTGACTGACACCTGAATGAAACAGTCTGGCATGGGCTAAGACAGAAGAGGAGTCCCACACCTTACAGCAGACCAGCTCACCCCCTCCCCTCCTCCCCAGAACATAGAATATCTGTATGAGCAGCACCCACAAGCCCTACATGATGCTCCTCTGGTGGGCTGGATGGCACGGAAGCCTGCATCCTTCCCTCTGCCTTTCTAGGGGCCAAAAGCAAGTTTGGCGAGATGATGCCTTGGGCTGTGGAATGGCTGGGACCCTGATTACAAGACAGTGCAGGTGGCCAGGAGGTTTATCTCATTACCCCACTGTAGTTTTCATCCCAGAGAAGGCAACTGGGAATTACTGCCCATTTTATTGATAAGGAAAGAGATGGCTGTGGTATGCATCAAGTACCCCAAAACCAGAGAAAGGAACACAGAACCCAGACCACTCCAACACAACTCTGAGGTTTCCCCCCTACTATATACAGTGGCCCCCAAACTCACTTGGAGTGTTTAAAACGTAAATACTGGTCCAGAGAGACGGTTCCACAGGTTAAAAAAAATACCTGCCACACAAGCCTGATGATCCCCAGAAGATAACTGACTCCCAGAAGTTATCTCTGACCTCCATAGATGTGTCTGTGTTCCTCCAACACATCACACACACACACACACACACACACACACACACACACACAAACAACTGCTACTACTACTACTACTACTATAACAATAAATAAGTTTTTTAAAAAAGTAAATACTGGTTGCAAGGAGAGCTTCGGGCTCTTGGGAGCTTTGACACAGGCAGTGGACCCAGGTCTGGAGTCTGGCTCTACAAAAAGAGCCAGTCAGTCTGGCTGAGGCTTGAGCACAGGTATCAAAGCCATTGGCTGGCAATGAGTGTGGGGGGCAGCCAGGCCCCAGCCAGAAGTTGTGAGGCTGGGCTGTAAGAACATCCAGGATCTCTGCACAGGGGTGGTCCTGGAGCAGGTAGGTTCCACTCTTCACCTCCTCTCTGAGTGCAACTACCTTGGCCTTACCTGCTGTAACCCCTGAGGCTGCAGAGCTCTGGGGAGACTGCCCTATCCCTTCCTGGGCAGTGTCTGACATGAAGGCCCTGGCATTCTGCCAACTGCTCTGGCCTGTGAAGTAGGGCAGATGCAATAGTCTGCCAGACTGGGTGAGCAGGCAGCCTGGAACCCAGCCAAAATGAGGCCCTGCCAGGTCCAGGGGAAAGAAGCAGTGCCTCGGTCAATGGGGCATTCTTCCTACAAGCTCAAGGATGTCGGCATGGCCCAAACGGAGGTACTCACAGTCAAGAAATGGTCTGTGTTCACTGACAAGATTTTGGCGGAGCCCCAGCTGCCAGACACAGGCCCCCTCCATCCACCTATCACGCACTGGTGGGCTCAAGTCTAGAATTACATCTTGGAGTAAGAATTTGGCTGCCCACTGTGGGTATCTGGGACACTTGGGACAAAGCACAGTCTCTGGCCCAGCTGTTTTCCCTGGCTTGGCCCCTCCTCCTCGGGCCTGCATTCAAGTAGTCTGTGCTGACAGGGTAAGTGGCTCAGATGTGCCCTTAAGCCCACAGGTCAGCAGAGGCAGGATCCAAGTCCTCTGTGGGAATGTCCACCCATCACCCATCCCCCTCCTAGCTCCTCCTCTGACCTCAGTCTCCCCAGGCAGCTAAGCTGTTGCCACCTCCTCTTCTCAGTATGCTTCAGGAAAGTAGAAGTACTGACTTTTGCTTCCTGTAGCTAAAGCAGGCATGGGCTGGGAGGAAGCAGGGGCAGGTCACTGGGGGGTGGGGAAAAGCATCTTTGAAGCTAGAAGGAGCTCAGTAAGAAGACAAGCAGGTGCCCAGGGGAACTGAGAGTAAGGGCTGGAGACCCAACAAAGCCCCACCTCTCATGTCCAGGTATGGGGTAAAGCTTTGGCAGGGTTGTTCAGAGGGAGTCATGACGGGAAGGGAAAGGCCCTACCCAGCTTCCTGCTTCACAGAAGGTTCTTGGAACCTTGGAAGAACTTCAGGAGTTGGGTGGGATAGCCCTTGGGGGTAGGGATGGGGGACCCCCATTGACTGCTGAGCTGGAGTCTCTTTCCAATCTAGAGTGATGAGAACTAAACCCCTACCTGGAAAGAAATTCAGTGTCACATTTCATGCACACTTATGGTGTCAGTTTCTCACCTGCCCCAAAGGCTCTGTGAAGACTTCCAGCTCTAGGCTCCCTGGCTCTGTGGCCTTGGCTTTAAGTGCCCCCAGCAGCAATCAGCCTCCTCAGTCTCATCCCTATGAGCAGGCTGGTGGGCCTTGTTAGGATTCAAGAAGACTATTCAAGGGCTAGTGAGATGAGTTGACACAAAACCCAACATCATGGGTTCAATCCCCAGGAGCTCCATTGTGGACGGAGAGAACCGACTCCAGCAAGTTGGCCTATGATTTCCATATTCTCTCTCTCTCTCTCTCTCTCTCTCTCTCTCTCTCTCTCTCTCTCTCTCTCTCTTCTTTCTTTTTCTCTCTGTCTGTGTCTGTGATCTTAAATGTAGAAAGAGAAGACGCTGTAATGCTGAGCTTGGCACAGAGCGGGAACCACCATCACCCAGTTGTGTTTTTTTTGTTTGTTTGTTTGTTTTTGTTTTTTTTATCTTTACTTTCCCCACCAGACTACATGTACAAAAGGGCACCTTAAATACAGAGCTCCCTGCCTGGCAGTGGTGGCGCACACCTTTAACCCCAGCACTTGGGAGGCAGAGGCAGGCAGATCTCTGTGAGTTTGTCCAGCCTGGTCTACAGAGCAAGTTCCAGGACAGGCTCCAAGGCTACACAGAGAAACCCTGTCTAGAAAAATCTTTAAAAAGAAAAAATTCAGAGTTCCCTAATCCACCTCGCAGCCCATACCCCACAGCTGTTTCTGCTCCCACAAGTGGCCAGGGCTAGAAGGCTCTCTAAGGTTATATAACCCAGCTTCCCTGTTTTGCAAAGACAGAAACAGAGGCAATTACACAAAGAGACAGGGCCAGAGGCAGAGACCCCAGGCTACCAAGCCACTAAGTCTGGGGTCCCTCCCTTCTTTACTCTTCTTTCTTGTTGCTTGCCCTCCTCCTATGGTGTTCTGCTAAGGCCCAGTATCAGCCAGTCTTCCTCACAGTTTATGAGTCACCCACAGTGCTTCTGGGGGAGGAGGGGCAAGCTAGGTGGACAGCACTCTGGGGAGCACCTTGGAAGACACAGGCATGGGTCACAAATCCAAACCTGCCTCAGTAGGAGGAGAGTAGCTATCATGCTGCCCTGACTGAACTGCACTCCCTGGTCCTCTGTCCCTTGCCTGGGGTCAACAAAGCCAGCTCTTCCTTGTTCCCCAGTGTTCCCAGCACACAGCAGGCATAGAATAAGAAATCCTGTGTCTGCCAGCAAATGAACCAGACAACTGTAAACTGAATGCCCATTTCAGTCAAAGCAGGCTAGATTGCTCAATGTCAGAGGGGCACACACGGCTGTGCACATAAAAGAAGCCCATGGACCTCAACAGGACAGATGTGCTTATCGTGGGCTTGTTGGGGGAGGGGTTGAGTTTCTGCAGCAGGAAGCCTGCACATATGTGCATATGGGGGTAGGGTGTGATAGGGACTCAAAGGGCAGGTGCCAGTGGTGATCAAACTTGGGTCACCAGACTTGTGTAGTAAACGCCTTTACTCACTGAGCCATTTACATTTGTTTTTTATTGTTATTGGGGAAAGGGGGATTGTTTGTTTTGTAACAGGCTCTCTGTAGCCCTGGCTGTCCTGGAACTCACTATGTAGACCAGGCTGGACTCAAACTCTCAGAGATCCGCCTGCCTCTGCCTCCCAGGTGCAGGAATTAAAGGTGTGTGCCACCACACGTGGCTCCCACCTTATCTTTTGAGACAGGGTCTCTCACTGAAGCTTTATTTGGCCAACCTGGCTGACCCCAGGAACCTTTCTGTCTCTGCCTCTCCAGTGCTGGAATTACAAATGCAATCAGCTTTCTATGTGGGTGCTCAGGAATTGAGCTCAGGTGTTTGTACAGCAGGTACTTTACTGACAGCCACCTCACCTCCCCACCCTGAGAACTCCTTTGTTCTTTCTGTCTTTTTATGTCTCATAATAGGTTTTAAAAGTTGGCATGACTTTTGCCCTTCTTACCTGTGGGTCCACATTGACAAAACAGAAGCATCACCGTTGTGAAGGCTGTGAAGATGGCTAAGACACAGCAAGCCCCAGAAAGCAGCAAGGGCCTGGGTCAGTATCTAGAAACACAGGACCACTTCTCCTACTACTTAAGACGCTGGTACCTGGCAGTCTTGGATGTAGGGAACACTTTGGGAATCGGAACTCTGGTCTCTCTTCCCAGGAAACAAAGAAAAGCAGAAACCCACCACATGGTTCTTACTAGGCTATCTCCCTTGGGTCCCAGGCCCCTCCAACCAATGGAACACAGAGATGTGCTGCCATGGAGGTTAGGAAAAAGTAGGAAAGAGAAGGGAGGTGAAGAAGCAGCCAGTGAGGAGGGCAAGGGAACGCGTCCTGCCTCTCTGATCCCTAGGGCTGGGAGCCAGGACAGTTAATGTATTCCACACACCTCCTCCCATTACAACAGTTGGCCCTTCTTCCTCTTTTTTTAATTAACATGTATTAATTATATATATTAGTGAAGTTTGATTACTATTTCCACACATGCATATGATATACACTGGCTAAATCCAACTTTCTTTAACCCACCTTGCCTCCCACACCCTCCTCATCCTCTTTTCATTTTTTTTTACAAGGTCTCACTATGTAGGCCAGACTAGCTTGGAACTCTTCATCCCCCCCATGACCCTTCCCCCACATCTGTCAGGATTTGGGGATTACAGTCATGTATCACTACCAGTGACCAGGATGACATCTTTAGCTCTCATGTATCTTAGGAAGAAAAACTAAGTCCCCAGTCAGGATCGTCACCAAGGTCTTGCATTCTCATCAAAATCTTCTGATTAAAGCTATCCATTTTTCCACATCATCCAGATGCAGGGGTCAGGGTCTATGATTCCCCGCTAGCCTTTGTCTCCCTACTTCCCCTCGTTCTCTCCCCTTTCCTGACCATCCTTTCCAGCTCCTCTTCCTCAGACTTCCTCTAGCAAATGCTATCACCATATCCAAAGCTCAGCACTTGGGGCTTCTGGACCACTGAGTGAGAAGCTGAAGAGCTGGAGGAAGGATGAAGGAGATGATATTGGAAGGTGCTTTCCACCAAGGGCCAGGCTCCAAATCTCAGAAGCTGAACCAACAATGAGGACCACAATACTATTAAGATCTGGTGTCTTTCCTGGAACTCGCTCTGTAGACCAGGCTGGCCTCAGACTCAGAGATCTGCCTGCATCTGCCTCCAGAGTGCTGGGATTAAGGCATGCATCATCACCACCCAGCTAAGACCTGGTCAATTTTGCTGTCACTGAGCCCACCACCCCTAAGGATGTGCCTGGGCCCACAACTCCCCTCCCCCATGAGGCTTTTTCCTTACCTTGTAGGATGGGGTCTCTGTGCCCAGGTTCTCAGCCTGAACAACTATGTAGGCATGTAAGAAGTTTGATGCAATCATATCTGGGACAAACGGTGTATTTTCCTCTTGGAAGATGATGGCCACAATGTCATTCCCAATGTGCCGCTTTCTCTGAAGCTAAACAGAAAGTACTTCATTGTTACAAGATAGCTAAGACCCTCCCTAAACAGAAAAGATCTCAACAGCAAATTGCTCTTTATTCCACCTTTCATAATCCCTGAACTCTGTCTCTCAAATCTGTGGGAAGTACCAAGAAGAAAAGGGAGGAAGATGCCATATTGTTAGATAAGAGCTGGCCTGAGTGTAACTAAACTCAACAGCGTGCAGAGCCTGGGCTCAGGACCCTGGAGAGAATGTAAGAATGGCAGGCCAATCATCAGTGATCCAGAAGAAACACAAACACAGGAGGAGCCACCTGAACACACTAACCAAGCTGCCAGCCAAGGGTAAATCAGTTGCTCTCTGGCAAAAAAGTACCCGGCAGCTCTAGGAGCAGAGAGCAGCAGAGGGCATCCTGAAACACATGGGCAGGATCAGTAAGGAAATGTCAACAGAAGAGGCAGGGGACAGATCATTCCACCAAAGGTGAGGACACACTCAGAAAAATGCAGGTCACCTGGCTAGGGGAGAAAAAGTGGACGGGGCCCAGCAGTGCCAGGCGATTTGTCATGTGACCTAGGTTACAAGCCCCTACTATATGCCAGGAACAGTGATTGGCTGTTCCCATGGATGATTACAGATGTTAAGGTCTTCCTGTGCACCAGACCCCGCCCATGTGTTTGGTCCTTTATTAAATGCGTACTCATAGTGGGACTTGTGCTCAGGCCTTTCAAATTGAGTTTCTCACTTATAGAGTGTCCACTCTGCTCTGAACACTGTACTGGGCACTTTTATGCAAACTGTCTCATTTTGTTACACACACACACCACTGGGAGCCCATTTCTTAAGAGGAAAGACCTCTCATTTATTTGGTCCCTGCCAAGAGCCAAGGTCTGTAGCACATGCCAGGCTGAAGTAACCCTGAGGTAACAAGCCTCAGACTAGGGCAGTAGGTGAGGGAGGCTGGGAGAAAACAGGGACCGAAGGTGAGACACCCAGGAAAAACCCACTTTGGCTACACAAGGAATCCCACACCCATGTGTTTCTGGAACATTCAGTTATTATTTGGGAGCCAAATAATAATTGCCTTGCCAATTTCTTTGATTCCCAAGAAGCCATGTCCAATGTTTACGATTTTGCATCCCTGTTCCCCTCCCAGGGCCCTAGGCAAAAACAAACAGGTCAGAGTTTGGAGGAGGCCTTCCTGTGTTCTCTGAGATAAGAAGGAGGAAAGTGGAATAAGGTGATTAATGTCACAGCAGCCAGGAACAGCTTCGAGAGCCAATCCCTCCCCAGGGATGTGCAGCTCAAAGCAGCTACCCTGGAGAGAATTGGCAAATGCTGGAGTCACGGGTCTCACAGAGTCCCCAGACTAGAGACAGGCGACGAGACTGGGAGAAATCTCATACAAACTTCACACTCACAGGGCAGCAAGAAGGCACAAGGGCAGAGTGGCCAGGACAGGGAACAGAGATTCTACAAAAAGCAGGCACATGCCAGGTGTGGCTCACAGGAGCCCACTGTTCAGAAACCTACAGCCTCTAATTCAGATGCCACTCCACATGTTCCAAAGCCACGAGGCCACTAAATGGCCAGGAGTCTCAAGCACTCAGCTTGCTCTCCTGGCTTCCGAGTCCCATCTTCAGCTCTGCCTAGCAGCCTTGTTTGCTTTGCTCCCAGCTTGACCCTTCATTGACTTCCTGGAGGAAACGTCTACTTTTGGTGCTAGAGACAGAGTCCAGGGCCTCCTGCATTCTACATCCTGAATCCTGCATCCTAGATGAGTACTTTATCGATGAGCTACACCCTGAGCCTTAAAGAAGGGTTTTAACTGCCCACCCCAGGCGGCAGTGTCCCATCCGTCAAGTGGAAGCAACCTGCAGCTTGGCCCTGCCTTCTACACTGGTTACCTGCTGGGTGTCACCATCCGTGAAGGGCAGCTTGGTAGAGACATGGAACATGATCTCCCGGTCCCGGAAAATGGTGTACACTGACTCCACCCCTGTCTGTCCATGGGTCACATCCAGGCCTCCTCGGAAACTGCCATAAAACAGGACAGGAGCAGAATAAGAGTGAGGTGAAGAGGCATGGTGGTGCCACTAAGAATAGGTAGCAAACAAGTGGATGAGAAGACACGGAAGAGCTGAGGGCCAATGAGGTATAAGGTAGGAAGGTGTGGAGATTAGTTCTTCTGAGTAGCCCTACCATCAGCCACCTATATGAAAGACAGAGGCAGACCTGGGAGCTGGCCACATGTTAGTAACCCTAGCACTTTGAAGATCAAAACAGGAGGATTCTGAGTTTGAGGCCAGCCTGGGCTAAGAGTGAGACTTTGTCTTACAACAGAACCAAATTAACAAACTAACTAATTTAAAGCAAAGCCTCTACTTCAAGCCTTGGCTGAACAGCACCTTCCACATGGAGAAGGCCATCATCCGTCATCCATTCTTAACCTTACACAAATGCCTGACCTAGCTCCCCAAGGACCCCGAGGCTGGGAATGAGCCTTTGCTCTGTCCAAGTCACTGGTCAAGAGCCAGGAGAGTCAGTCACTCTAAGGTATGTGGGTGAACCCATGGGGGACTCGGAGCCTGCAAAAGGGACAGCTGATTAACTTTTAACAGTCAGCTTCTACGGAGACAAACCACATGGTGGCTCCTCCATTCACACTTGCATCACCCAGGAAGGAGACGTTGGGGAAGAACTGATGGTCTTCCAGAAGCCAGCCCTTCTCCCTTCACAGAGATGTGGCTGCCAGCCTGGGACCACAGTCTTCAGCAACTGGGAGGGAAAAACAAAAATCAAAAAAACAGATGCACCTCAGGCCCTTTCAGGTTCCAAACCTGCTTTGTCCACATTATCGGTTTTAGTTCCCTGTGACCTTGTGGGGTGCTATTATGTTCATGCTTATCTCTCTTTATTACTGATAAGCAACTGGACTCTTCTCTAGGTAAAGTCACTGGTCCAACATCTTAGGCCTTGTGAGTATCAGAGGTGGGATTTTAACCCTGGTGTGACTGACTCCAGACTCCAGAGAACAGTAGTGACTTCAAAGTGAGAAGAAGACGAGCAAAGGAGAAGGGAGGAGGGAAGGAAGCTGAGGAAGAAAGCAATTACTGAACACCTACTGCAACTGGACTAAGTGCTTTGCATAAGACGTTAGGTGTTCGTTTGGGCTCCCGAACTAAATCTTAGGACTCTCAGCCATATGCCAGCCACTCGGTTGGACAGGTCTGAAATATTCCCAAATGTCACCTTTTCCAAGAGAAATCAAGGGCCAGGGTTTTCCAAACACTAGTCCCAATATTTTAGCTTTCTGTCCATTTACGGGGCTGTTGCATGGATTTCTGCTGAGGGGGTTATTATGTTCGAGTGAAGTCTTAATTATCTGTTCTTCACATGTTGTCCAAATTGGGTCATTTCCTTCCAAACGGCACAGGGTTCTCTTTCTCCTGCCAGGTGAGCAGTAGGGAAGGCGGATGCCTTTCACTGTCAGTTTGAGCCAAATGTAATTAGGAAGGCAAACCTCAGCAGGAGCGATCTCATCACGCTTCCGAGGCCACTGCCTTCCAGCCAACCTGTCACTCTGGATTATCCTAGGACCACTGAGTCTTCGGGAAAGCAGGTACCTGAGCAAAGCATCAGAAGCTAGAAAAGTTCCCATGCTCCCCTAGGGCAGAGCTGTCTTCCCAGGCCCTCACCAAGGGCCCCACTCATGGATGAAGCCAGCTCCTGACAAAACTCACCCTTTGAAGTCCTGCAGTGTGATGGTGTCCCCCAGGAGATTCAAAAACTCCTTGAAAGCTGGGCTCTCCTCGTTGTTCCCAAAGAGCTCTTCCTCCAGGGTCTAGAAGGAACAAGGGGCCACGGAGGGAATGAGAGGAAACCTCTGGTGTGAAGCAAAAGGGCTGTCCAGACTCCAGTCCTTTTCTCTCCTCTTCCCTGCCGTCCAGTACATTTGCCATAGCTGTCCTCAGCCAGAGGACAGGTTAATAGAGGAGCATTCTACAGGGGTGGGTTCTGGCCCTGGGTAAGGAGGCCTTGAAGTCCAGGAGAGTCAGAGTAAAGAGCCTTAGACTTGACACCAAAAACATGACTCAAAGCAACCTAGAAAGAGCTTTCAAAATTCTAATGTGGGGCTCGGCCAGGCGGCGCACTCCTTTAATCCTTGTACTCAGAAGGCAGAGGAACACAGAGTTCCCGTGAATTCAAGGCCAGGGTGGGTCTGCAGAGCAAACTCTAGGCCAGCTGGGGCTACACAGTGAGACCCTGTCCCACAACAAAAACTCTACAGTAACCAAAACTGCATTGAGACCCCACTTTACAACCACCAGGATGGGTGTGATGATGAATGACAAGAAAGAGTGTGGGTGAGGTTATGGAGGACTCTGAACACTTGATCACTGTTGACAGAAATGTGAACAGGGTAGATACTCTGACAACAGTCTGTCAGTCCCTCAGGGCTAACCACTGAGCAGTTCCACCCCTAGGTATATACCCAAGATACATCAAAATACATGGACACACACACACACAAAAAAAAACTTGTGCATGAATGTCAACAGCAGCACTGTACATAACCCACAAGTGTCCACCAACCAACAGGTTGCTTTTATGTGGTATAGCCATTCAGTGGAACATTACTTGACCTAAATAAGCTATAGATACACATTACAATATAGATGAACCCTGAAAACATTTATCTAAATGAAAGAAACCAGTCAAAAGTGTCACATATATCTTCCACCTCTCAAAGGTCCACAGAACGGGAAGGCAGGCTACTTTGACACAAATTCTTGCTATGTAGCTAGCCTTGAATTTGATATCTTCCAGGAGCTAAATGGAATGGGCCAGAGGGATGACTGTCCATAGGTGTGGTTTTATTTGGAGAGTGATGAGCATATTTTGGAATTAGAACATTATTGCTGTGCCACTGAGATCACACCTCAAGCCACCTGTGGAGCTGTAATTCTTACTATTGTGAATTGCACAGCATGAGAATTATAGATTAGGAAAGCTGTGATAAAAACGTTAACAGTAAGGAAAATTAGAAAATGGTCAAAAGACATAGACATTTCACCTAAGTGGACACACACAGAGAGTGTAAGCACATGATAAAAAATGTCCAGCATCATTAGCCAGCAGGGAAACACAAACTAGAACCACAATGAGGTGCACCATGCATGTGTCAGAAGGGCTAAATTAAAAGTCAGCAGCACCAAATCCGGCTCAGATGCAGGAAAGCTGCACACTCTGATGGGGGAACAATCGCTCCAGAAAATGGTCTGGTGGCTACACATGCAATTTACCATACGGCCAGCAGTTATCCTTCTAGGCAATTATCCCGGAGAAATGAAAGCATAGGTTCAAAAACCCAAATCCTACATAAAAGTCTTCACAGTAGTTCTGGTCATAATTCTCCAGTGCTGGAAATGACTATGATGTCTTAGTGAATGAATGACTAAGCACAAGCGTGTGCAGCCAGACCACGGAATACTACTCAGCAATAAAAACAGAGCCTAAGCCAGGTGACACATCTCTAATCCCAGTACTTGGGGAGTTACCAAATTCAAGGCCAGCCTGGGCTACAAAGTGAGCCTCTATTTCAAAATAATGAAAGCATAGAGAAAAAGAAGAAGGGAAACAGAAAGGGGGTAGGAGGAAGGGACAGAGGGAGAGAAGGGGAAACAAGAAGAAAATAAACCAACTGGTGACACACTTGAGAAGCTGGAGAATCTACTGAGAGCTGCCCTGAAGGTTTTTCACTAAAAGGTTACTAACTCATAAAGAAATGATATGCCATATCAGTGTGGTGCTAACACAGTGTGAAACAAAGATGGGGAACAGATAAATGGTGGCCAACAGTTAGGAACTAGAGGGGAGAGCAGAGGTCGGGGGAGACGGGGTAGCTAGAAAAGGGAGATGTAGGGAACTTTGTAGTGAGAATCTGCTTCTTCACTATGGAACCTACACATGGACAAAACAACATGGAACAATGTACACACATACAACATCCATGGCACACATACACATGCCACATACAAATAAGTCCATGTGAGGGGCCTGCAAGACAGCTCAGCACATAAGGACACTTGCTGCCAACCCTGACAACTTGAGTTCAATTCCTGAACCCACATGAGATAGAGAACTGACTCCTAAAAGTTATCCTTTGATCTCTGAGTACATGTAGATGATGGACAGATGATAGACAGGCAGGCAGGCAGGCAGACATTTTAAGTCCATGAGAATTGGGTAAACTGGAATAATATTTTCATTGTGTCAATAATCCTAATTGTGACACAGTGCTGAAGTTTGAGACCTGACCTTTGGGGAAACTGGGTAACAGTATCAGACCTTTCTCTATTATTATTTCCTCCCATGCAAAACTAATAAGGTTAATAACTACTGAAGAAAGCAAAACTGAAAATATTAGTAAACCCTGTAAATAGTGACAGACTTAAATCACTGACAAATCCTGCCTAATCCATGTGCTCTGCCCTCAGAGGCAGGATCCACAAACACCTGCGACAACACATAAGACATCCCAATTTTCCCAAGTCAACTCAAAGTCTCCACCAGGTAGCCCTGTCTCACCTCTCCTACACCTGCTAGAGGCGGAACTCGGAGCTTCCCTCTCACCACACACTAGCGCTCTACTGTTGGGCTACACTCCAGCCTGTTTCACAACAAATAAGAACAGACCTCAGGTTCCAAGCCTTCAAGAGGTCTCACACTCTAACCCATCTCAGCAACTTTATTTTGCTTTTTAATAGTATTTCTTGAGACTTGGTGCTGGTAATCTCAGCAAGCAGAAGGCTGTGACAGAAGAGTAACGAGTTACAGGCCAGCCTGGGCTACATAGCAAGTTCAATATCAGCCTGAGCTCCAGTCTCCAAAGCAAAACAAAATAAATCAGTCACACATATGCACACATACTCATGCACTCTCACGCACGCATGAGCACATACAGACAGACACACACAAAACTGCCTTCAGTTAATATCGAGAGACAGTGGCAATGGCTTTCCAGTTAGAGTAGCATTCTATAATTTCCTTTAAAATTAAAAGCCCCTAGAGGCTGAGAGCATGGTAAAACACTTGCCTAGCACGAGTAAGTAAGGCCCTGGGTTTGATCCCCAGCACCACAAAAATAAATAATTAGATACACTTAAGTTTTAAAACTTTTTTAGGGAAATAGTAGTTCAATAGAATAGCAGAACAAGCGGGTATTGGTGGCACACGCCTTTAATCCCGGCACTCGGAAGGCAGAGGCAGAGGCAGGCGGATCTCTGTGAGTTCCAGGCCAGCCTGGTCTCCAGAGAGAGTTCCAGGATAGGCTCAAAAGCTACACAGAGAAACCCTGTCTCCAAAAACAAAACAAAACAAGACAAAACAAAACAAAAAAGAATAGCAGAACAAACACTATGATATACTGACGGAGACCCATGAGTGAGTGAACACTGCTGTTCAACAGGAAACAGCTAATGCTAGCCAGGGGGTCAAGACTAACCTGCTTCCTGTTTTCATAAATAAAGTTTTATTGGTACACAGCCAGCCCAACTCATTTACATATGTGTCTGGGGCTACTTCTGCCTGCAGAGGGGAGTGGTTGTGACAGTCCCCAAGGCTCAGAGGTCTAAAGAGTCTACTACCCTGCAGTTATAGAGTGTATTGACCCTGATCTTTAGCATGCCAAGAAGACCTTGTCACTACAGGCTGTGTGGCAACACGTGGCAGGACAGCTGCTTCCAGGCAAGCTACATCTCCTATAGGAAACAATCTAGTGTGCCTTCTAGGGCTGGCACTGCTCTCCCAGAATTCACACTCAGCATGGTTATTATCATCATCTTTGTTTTTGTACAGCCCTTGAGCTTGACCATACACTCAGGGAGGAGGTCTGAGTCATCATTGTGTCACCCACGGTGCTTCGCACAGTACATAACAAACGGGACAGTTAGGTGTGGCTTATTTTTATCCAACGACCAGTTTAGAGCTTTTATGCAACAAATGTTCATATTAAATGTCCCCAGCTGTAGGTTTTCAGAGTAACAATTTGCCTGGCATTTTTTTTAAGTACTTTATCTTCCTGGCTTCTCCCCTGCAGCAGCAGCAGCAGCAGCACTGGGTACATAAACAATACCCTGGCTCATTCTCAGAGGTGGACAGTTAATATTCAATAATTGCAACTTTACTGGAACATTGGATTGTAATCACCATGCAAGATATGTCTTGGTAAAATTCACAAGCAAAGAACCTTAATTACAAGGGGTGACAATAGCCAAAATGTGTGAAATAAAGACATTAATATGTGTAAGTCATGACAGTGGCAACTGGAATCATCTCCCTTGAATTATGTGATGTATCCATGCTGGCCTTCCAGCTCTTAAACCCTTCACCTAGTTAGGTGCTTTGAAGCAGACCTGTGTCTTCTGTGATCTAACATCTTCAGACAAAGAAACCAACTAATCAAGAAAGCTAACCAACAAAGAAATCAACTAAACAAGAAAGAGATGGCCATGCAAAAAACAAAACAAAACAAAACAAAACAAAACAAAACAAAAAACCCACAAACAAAAAACCCACAGGACATCAATGAGCCAAATTTTCCATTCATTCAATAATCACATACCAATTGACTCTTATACACACATAAATTCACAAAGCCTGTGCATCTGTCTGTCTGTCTGTCCAACTCCATGCTGGGCACTTGGATACAAAGCAGAAATGAGCATGGAATTTCCTCACAGAACCTGGATGAGGAGACACTGGTGCCTGCAGTTGACCATTCTGCTTGGGACATTAGTAATGTTCACTCTGAAAGACGGGTTTTAACCACCTGCTTTCCCAGTGAGAGAATAGAAGCTTTGCTCTTTTCTAACTTCCATGGTGTAAATATTCCCAGCAAGGCTGATTTCAACCTGCCAACGCGATATCACTGGGCTCCAACACCCCACTGAGTGAGGAGAAAAGGCTAATTTCCCGCTGGGAAAAGAGTAGCTTAGGCTAGCCCATTTCCTCTCTCTTGTTTGAGTTTTCCTGTGATTCATAGCCCACAGATAAATATAAGATGAAAAAGCAAAGAAGAATTAGACTTTACTGTGGGAGAACTACACCACTATCTACAAGACTAGCAGGCCTTTTTGTAAAGTTGCCTTCCTTGGACACCCAATCCAATTTATGCTTTAAATTTGACAACTGAATTCAGAACATTTAATAACCACAGAGATACTTACACATTCATGTCTGTGAACACACTACTTACAATAGCCTGAAAATGAAACCAACCTAGATGCCTTATCAAAAGATGAACAGGCAAATATCACACAATGGAATTTTATTTGGCCATAAAGAAAACTGAAATTATGACATTTGCAGGAAAATGGATACCACTGAAAATCATTATGTTAAGTAAAATAAGCCAGACTCAGAAAGACAAATACTGCATATGTGTCCTCTGAACTTAAAAAAACTTTTTTTTTTCAAGACAGGGTTTCTCTGTGTAGTTTTAGAGCCTCTCCTGGCACTTGCTCTGTAGACCAGGCTGGCCTCACACATATCTGCCTGCTTCTGCCTCCCAAGTGCTGGGATTAAAGGCGTGTACCACTACTGCCCGGCCTGAACTTAAAAATTTATGTGTATCTGCCAGGCACGATGGTGCACACCTTTAATCCCAGCACTATGGAGGAGAGTCAAGCAGATCTCTGCATTCAAGGCCAACCTACTCTATACAGTCAGTTCCAGGCTAGCCAAAACTACATAGTAAAACCCTGTCTCAAAACTAAAAAAAAAAATCAAAACAATTATGTGTTTGTGTGTATCACACGTATGTGTGTGCTTGTGGTCATGAAAGATGAATCCATCTTAATGAAAGGAGGGAACAGTGAGCAATGGAGGATGTGTAACAAGAAAGCTGACTGGGGGGTAAAAGGGAAGCAGCTGAATTCCAGGAGGAGCGCAATGGGGACAGAAAGGAAGGAGAACAAAGTATAATACATAGAGATGAAGATACCAAGATTAGTTTATTATGCTAAGCTAAAATAAAAAATACATAAAATGTCCTCATTGAAAAGTCAGAGAAGGGGCTAGAGAGAGAACTCAGTGGTTAAGAGCACTTGCTGGTCTTGCAGAGGACCTGAATTTAGTTCCCAGCACCCACAGCAAATGGTTCGCATCGGCCTATAAATCTAGTTCCTGGGAATCCAACTCCCTCTTCTGAGGCATGGGCACCTGCACTCACATGTGTATATACCCACACAAAACGTATACATATACACTTAATTAAAAATACGGCACATCTTAGAAAAGAAAGAGCCTAGCTCAGAACTCCTGTGCTTGGGGTGGGTAAATAATGCAAAGTCATAAACAAGAGGCTCTGGTGACCAACGTGAGCCATGCAAGAGGCTATGGTGACCATTGTGAACCATGGTGCTTACCTGCCTGGCTTTTTGGTAAATGACCCCAAACTTGAAAGTGTTGTTGACATCATGCTCATCATAGGACACAATCATCTGAGAGGCCTAAAAATTGTGGAAAAGAAAAAACAAATCAAGATTGACGTCAACAGGAGGCAAGGGGAAAAAAACAAAAGGCATGCCCACTTCAGCAGAGAAAGGGCCTGGAGAAGAGACAGCCACACACGGAGGAGGGGAAGCAAAGAACTAGCCAGTGTCAGAATGCTGCTCCATGGCCCTCTC